TGTTAAATAATTCTTCATTTCTACTATCGTAAGCATCAAGCCTTACCCCGAATTTCCGACTTTCGAACTTGGGGACTAAATTATAATTTTCCAATTGTGTGAACGACATCACTCCTGGGCATTCTGGCTTCGGAACTACTTCACGAACACTTTTTGTGTCAATTAATTCATCATAGCATTTAGTAGTTCTTGGGATATTCTCCTCCTTATCTATCCTTTGACAAAACGAGAGTGGAATGTACTACAATCCATTCATCTTATATATGTTGAATGAAAAATATAGTTGTAGCAAATAAAAGGATGGGAAACTGTCATAATTTATGATAGTTGGCGAATTATTACTTAAAACCATCTACAAAATATGTTATTGATTAATTACCGTTTGAATGCATGTTTAACACCGAATTGTTTGAATATTGCACAATAGGTGCAGATAATTCCTTGCTGTAACAACATATATGTTATTGGACAAAACGCATTACCATTACCAGTGGTTTGTTGGAGAAGCATTATTTATATAATTTAATTACTTACATTCAAAATAATAGTTTCTTGCGGATTTCATCCTGGAGACAAAAAGCATCTTCAGACGGCACCACAACGAGTTGCCATTATATTCTGTTACTATTTTAACCAGGTATATTATAACAACTGAGTTCTTGTCACTATGACTGTTGTTTGTGATCTGTTGACCACTAAATAATACACTAGGAGATAACTCTAACAATGTACACAAATGACAATTTTGTTCCAGATAGATGTCAACTTTTTACAGCTTTTTCGCTTACGGACAAAATGATGCTATAATCATATAGTGTACTTTAATTTGGAATTATTTATTTCACAAAACGTTTACTTCGCTCAAATCCTTTTTTAAAACTGGGATATTCAAGGTGTAACAATGATTTTATCTAAAATAGGGGATGTTAGTGATTCGTTTTAAATTTGATTTGATTCAGAATAGTGTATTCAATCTTATTTTACACTAAAGTTGTCGATAATTTTCCTCTGAAGTTTAATTATGTCAAAAAAAGAATCAAATAGAATATATATATATATATATATATATATATATATATATATATTCCAGATTAAATTATTAGACAGTTAATATGTTAAGTTATAATTAACTATCCGCAAATGTAACTCGTTCTCCAGTATGCAATCTACATCAAATAAAGTTGTAATAACGGTTGATACATATTTATCTCAACAGTTGAGATCATGAGTCTATTGAAGTTAGATCACCATGGAAAACCTGGAAGCACTAGACGGCCGTTCTGTCCTAGTTTTGGACTCCTCAGCAGTGCGCATCCACGACCCCACCTCACGGGATTCAAATCCAGGACCTATCAGTCTCACGCCAGGTGCTTAATCACTATATCACTGAGCCGGCATCCAACGGTGTTAATATCTAACTTCAACTAATCCATGTAACTGAGTGACACATCCACCATTGTTATCAGTAAGTTACTATCTCACAACTGACCCGGTTGAACCCCACTGGTCTAGCTTCAATAGACTCATGATCTCAACTGTCGAAATTATTACAATCTCCACAAAACCCATTCTGATACATATTTATCTAACAACAAGTGATTGACTATACAGACTTATCAGTTTACTGCATACTTCTTTAACATTTGATAAGGTTAGTCTGTTGTTCAGATTTCAGCAGGAACATTAAGACCTTGTTTTATAAACAAACAAATTCAGATTACCGTTTCTAAAAAGAGAAAAGTATATACGCTCTTTATTATACAAAAAGATTCTAACTTACTAGAATTTTATAAATAGATTACAAATTTCCACGTTTTTATACCTATCGTCTTTCAAATCAATCAAAAATCTAGTAACTTAGGTTTAAATGAAACATTTATAAAATTATCAATTTGATATCTTTTCAGAATAATTGAATATTTCAGTAATAAATTGATAAAAAGTATGTTTATTTAGTGTGTGTTTGACAACAATGGAGCTAAAAGTGTGGTGTGCGCTACTTATATTGACATAAGTAGTGTATGATGTTAGTCGTGAACAGAAGGTCTAGCAGCAGAGAGACAAGAGGATCGAACAGTAACGAATGGAAAACGGATGCATTTTGTATGAAAATGCAGGGACAATGAAGTCTGAGTCATTTTAAGACAACTGATGGACATTTGCAAATTAAGCATTTACTTTATGATTGTTAGATTTTATTAACAAGTCCTGTAATTTTGTGTTAAATACATTCGATTGTCTCCACCCGTGTTCTGTTCACTACAAAGGAACTGGCTAGAATTAGAAGAAAACAAACATCTGATTTCATGAATTAGGTAGTCATGACTATCTTTGTCTGATATTTTACTCAGTTGAATAATTTGCTTTTTTTAAAAAAGGAAGGTTGTTTCAATTTATTTTAATTTAAATCACTAGTCTTTCCTTTTCAATGTAGATTGAAATGATTACCATTATTTAAAGTAATATTTTCATTGTATTTATTCTATTAAATTTCGATAGATCAATTAAAAGACGAAGTTGATCTGAAAAATGTAATGTATTTGAGCTATACATTTCGAACAATTTGATCACATGTGTCAGGGCATTTTTTCCATATGAAAGTTAATAAAAATCAATTATTCAAATAAAAGTTTAAGTGAAAAAAAGGCGACATAAAGGAGAGAAACACTTTACATCCTATAGAAAGAATAAGAAATTGTCACATTATCCTAGGCCATAAAATTATGGTGTGGGTTACTTATATCCACATAAGTAGTATATAACGGTGGTCAGGCATAGAATGTATTTCAGTAGAAGATCGATAAGAAAAGAACGGGAACGGAACGCAGTTGGTATGAAAATGCATGAACAATGAGATCTGAGACAATGGACTGATATTTGCAAAGGGAACAGTCAAGTTTGGGACGATGGGTTGATATTTTGCAAATAATCGATTTACTATATGGTTCTCAGATTTTAGTTAGATGCTCTGTAATTTCGTATCATATACATTCTGTTGTCCCAACTCGTATTCTTGTTCACTGCAAATGACTTGTATTCCATTAAATTACGTAAACCAATAATTATAGATTAGTAATATTAAGATATTTGTTTTTTTTTTCTAGAAATTAGATTAGTATAAATTATTTGTTTTTCTCGTGATTATTATTGTAACCTATCAAAATTTTAAATGACAAGTTATCATTAATTTATTAGTCTTTGAATTATTATGTTTATGAAGGAAAAAGTCAAAAGAGAGATTTTAATCAGAGAAGGGTTTTCTGGATACTAAAGTAATTTACTAGTTGAATTCATGAGTCAATTTAAGCTTGACCACCATAGAAAACTGAGTCTGTTGTGAGATAGTAACTTACTGATAACAATGGTGGATGTGTCACTCAGTTACATGGATTAGTTGAAGTTAGATATTAACACCGTTGGATGCCGGCTCAGTGATATAGTGATTAAGCACCTGGCGTGAGACTGATAGGTCCTGGATTTGAATCCCGTGAGGTGGGGTCGTGGATGCGCACTGCTGAGGAGTCCAAAACTAGGACAGAACGGCCGTCTAGTGCTTCCAGGTTTTCCATGGCGGTCTAGCTACGATTGACTGATGAATTCAACTAGTAAATTAAAGGATAGATGTGTTCTACTTTTTCTTAGTAATATATGAAGGTTTGTATAGGATTTTTAGATGAGAATTTAGTCTCCAAGGCGTTATTGTATATATGAACTAAATCAACTGACATTCGTATAATGAAAATTTCAGAAAATGACTGTTAGATGTAAATATAAAGAATGCTGATATAAACTATTTTTAAATTTTTATAAAAGATCTGTCCTTTAAGTATAGGTAATATTCGAAACTAAATTTGGATTGATTTTTCATGGAATATATATATATAGTAGTTATAGGTTTAATTGCACTCTGAATTATGACTGGCGGTAAATTCCTGGTTATGGTTTTAATCAAATTTATGACTTGTCACCTACATATACCTCCATCTCAATGTTAGTGTTCACACTGGTATTTGAAGCAAGTACTTATTACTTCAAATGTCATCGTGTTTTATCTATTGAAACTATCTTATTTAGTAATTCACTAACACTTGTTCAATGTGTATAACACTTCGTTTTCGTAAGAATTTATGCTTTCTCATTGTTGATATGTATTCCAACTAGGCAGAGAAATGAATATTACAAAATAAATACCATGTAATTATCATAATCTAAAGAACAATTCATATTCATAATTAAGTCTTATCAAACTTATTGTTGAAACAGTAACAAACCCAACATGTTATATTACCATATTAAACAAAAGATTGTTCTAAACATATCCTTGACTGTCTTCGGTTACTTGAGAAAAATTCTTTGGATTCAATAAAACATTTAATCTAGAATATCAGTCAACATATCGAATTTCGCTTGTTATACTAAATCATTATTCCAGTTATATTTAAGTGATAATCAGTTTTCACGAAGATATCTTTATAAATATTCGCTTTAATATGAAAAGCGATTAAACAATTCAATATTTCCATTCATCAAAATAATCTGTTACTAATGAGAAATGAAATAGAATAATGTTGTTTGAATGATATGGTATTCCTATTGGTTTCACATGCAGTGTCAAGAATCTTTAATGCTCAAATTATCAGTTGAGTAAATTAGAATAAGGATTGAAATGTACAATATTTTCGCTCGATATTTAAAATGGGCATGTAAAGTTGGCTATAAAGCGATATAGGGAGCCATATTTCCAATGACAACTAAAAGTATTTACGAGTCATGTTTTCTTATTGTTACCCAGTTAAATAAACCATTTATTTATCATAGTTCATTAATATTTGCTTATTACTAGACTATACGACTCTTAGACAATGTACAATTTATCTCAGTTTTTTCAATGTAGCGGATACAACCTGATGAATTATAGAATTATTCGCTTAATATCAACACTTATCGCCTTGTAAATTCAAGATAAAATTAAAATGATAGTTTATTCAATCAAACAAAATCAAATTTATTAAATCTATTTTATTCTATATTAAAAACAATACAATTTCCAATAATTACTCAACTTTATGCCTATGACGTTATAGACCAAAAAAAAAACAAACGAAAACAATCACAAATCTATTCAAATAGCCCATCATTTTGTTTATATGAATTGATGTGAAAAACTGCTTGAGACAACGAACATTATTTGCACAAGTTAATCAATGAAATGAAATGAAAATTAAAAAAAAAACAAGAAAAAAGAACAAAAGAGTGTGTCTATTTTTTTTACTTCTTCTTGACCCATTCTCAAGATCAAGTCACTAACCTACAATTTATGTATCTACGTGTGTGTATGATTTTCCTTTATATCTTCAAAGTTAAAACAGGATTATCTGATTCGTTTTCATAACGATGGAGTATTTGCTAAATATTTATCTTGATATTCTGTCAATTCATTTACTCTACATAAATATTCTTTGTATTCATTGTTATAGTTTTTATAGTTATCTAGATTACGTGAAAATGGATTAAATCTTATTATAGGTATATGACGATGCAATGCATTGGAATCGAACCATGTTTCTTTACCTAAAACAAATAAGAGAATATGGGGGGAAAATATATTTTACAAGTAAGTATATTTATTTACTGAATGAATTATCTCGAGTTTTTTTATAGCTAGTAACTAATATGCCATCTGATCAGCCTCCAAATAAAAAAATCACTTCAACTACTCGGATATAAAGTTATTCTCATCATCACTAACACCAACGGAACATGTACCATAACTTAGTATAAATCGCTTGGTTTGTGGATAACTTTATAAAAATTTACTTCTCATTATAATTAATCATTTGTTTCTTGCATGCAATAGCTATAAAATTACATGTGAAGAGAAATATTTGTTACTTCATTGTGTCGTGCTTCTACGCATGCATTTTAAATAAAAGCCAACTGGCTTCACCAATCAGTTTGGTTGGGAGGGGCACCTGATTGGCCAGTAACTTAAAATGTAGATTTCTATATTAGCCACTTCAAAAAGTAGCTTTATGATATGATTCGAGGGCGATTTTCATAATGGATTAATAAGGAGCGGAAAATCAATGAAGAATAGGTAGCACTAAAATAACAGTTTCTTCTATTTTATATGATTCAATAAACGGTAAGTACCCAAGATCACACACAGGACAGAATTCAATACCTTCAATCCTCACAGTAGGTCTGATATTATTCAGTCACTCAGTCAGAGTTCGATAATAAAAATTTTTCAGTCTCTGTCAATTTTTTATATAAATTTGTCTCTTTCTAATATCATCAGAGGACAGCGGCTTCATTGAGTTTCAATAAAATCATTTTGCCATCAACACTGATTTGTCAACAAATCTCTGAAAACCCGTTTTATCCGTAATAATATGGTGAATATAAAATCAATTATTTGTGTTAACACAGTTCATCGTTATCCCATAGCTAAAAGTTAGATTAGTTTTATTCAAAATAACTATCAAATATGATTGAAATACAGTAAACACTTAGGTCTATTATCTCATTTGGTTGATTATTATTGTACAAGAGAAATAATAACAAGATTCCTCCTTTTTAAACATTCACTAAAGTAGTAAATAATAAATGTTGCAGATATATTTCCGTGTAAATAATACGTATTACCAGACCGTAGTTGTTTTACTGAGAAAAAGGCCAGCTCATTTGTTAGAATCAGTATCAACTTGGTCTCAACTTGACTGGATTATATTTTCAGTTTATTAGTTAAATGTTTATTTATTATCACTTTTATAATTAGTCAGAAATTTATTTCTTCACTTCTATTGGTAGTAGGTGTTGTTGTGAAAGAGAACTATTTCATTGGTCTGTTTACCATCTGACAACCAGCTAGCGTATAATATAAATTTATCAGGTCTAAATTTCATTAGTTTACTCATGAGTGTCTATATCGAATCCATCCGCAAAATTTTTTATTAAAAAATTAATTTTTCTCCAGGAATATCTACTTGGATATTTTTGTGCGTAATAACCAGGTGCAGCTCTACCAAATGCCATTTTAATGGGTCCTGGAATATTTGTTGGCGGACGATGTTCTATTTCAATTCCAAGTAGAGAACTGTAAGATATACTTCGACTATCATACTTTTCTACTCTTTCACCTGAATAGAAATTCAAGAAAAATTTATAATTACAAGAATGTGACGTAAAAAGATGTCTTAACTAAAATGAAAACATGGTGTTTCATTAAAATTCAATTGGTAAGAAACATATATAGGAATAAATTCTAGCACATTAACTTCTATCAACTAATCCCATTCATTCAATTAATTAAATAGGTTTTATCATAATTATATAACATTCTGATTACGATGTATAGTTAAATACTTATGTTCATGTTAATGTCTTCTGATCAACGGAAAGTTTTCTTACAGAAGATTAAACAAAAACAGCTTAATTTTGTAAACAATAAGTTCTGTAATAACTGTTTTTTTTTTCGGTTTTACTTATATTTGTTGTATTATTATAAACTCGTTATTAGCTTAAATCGATGGTGTTGAAACATTTTCAAAAACCTACTTGACTTAATTAATGCCAATAAATACCGATTGATGACAATTTATTTATCAATGCTATTTTTAAAGTTGATTTTCCTGTTTGAAACATTTGAGCGTTTCTCCTAATCATAGTTTCGAGATGAAATTTTACATCAACTATCACTTCGACAAGCCACCAACATTTATTAAAGGTTGAGACGGTTTAGAATTATGTATATAATACTTAGACTGATTCTAAAAAAATTATTCTTAACAGCTGTTTATTCAGTGAATTTGAATATTTCGAAAAGTAGGTAATGATCTGAACTAAAATTTAAGAGTTTTATTAGAACGCATGGATTTAATAAATCTTTTTCATTGAGTTATAGGATCCTGTCTGGGCAGCATGATTGATGAACACGGTGGATCTGATGCAGATGCGAAGGCGCGGATCGGCAAAGCCAGAGCAGAATATTTACAATTAAAGAACATCTGGAACTCAAAACAACTGTCAACCAACACCAAGGTCAGAATTTTCAATACAAATGTCAAGACAGTTCTACTGTATGGGGTGGAAACCTGGTGAACTACGAAAGCCATCATTCAGAAGATACAAGTGTTTATCAACAGCTGTCTACTCAAAAGACTTTGGATCCGTTGGCCAAACTATCAGCAACAACCTATTGTGATAGAGAACAAACCAGATCCCAGCGAAGGAAGAAATCAGGAAGAAACGCTGGAAGTGGATAGGACACACATTGAGGAAAGCACCCAACTGCGCCACAAGGCAAGCCCTCCCATGGAATCCTCAAGGGAAAAGAGGAAGACCAAAGAACACATTACATCGAGAAATAGAGACAGACATCAGAAAAATGAACAAAAATTGGATAGAACTGGAAAAGAGGGTCAGGACAGAGTGGGTTGGATAATGCAAGTCGGCAGTCTATGCTCCACTGGGAGTAACAGGCGTAAGTAAGTAAGTAAGTATAGAATTCTGTAAAGTATAAAGAAGTTTATTGAAATAATGTAAATGAAATTGAAAGATCTAGTGCCTTCAGGATCCTGGGTCCCATGTTAACCATTGGTTTGTAATCAGAGTTCCGCAACTCCCTTAGGTGGACCCTCTGTGTCCACCAAACCAGTTAAAGTGTCGGACATTCGCTTTTCATCCTCTCAATTTCGTAAACAACACCCGTTGTTCTAGAATGCAGTGAGTAGGACTTCCCTTGCAGTGGTTGTATGTACGATGCCATGTGAGAGCATTTTGAGTGGGAGAGCTGACTCTTCCCACTCTCGGCTATACCAAGCACTAGGGGGTGTTTACTTTTAAACAGGTCTATTTTGTTTATAGGGTTATGGTATCATATATTAATATTTCAGTATAATTTTCGGTTTATTTCATAAGAAGTTATATTTTAGTGAATCAATGATTAGCTACAAATTCTTTCGACAATAATTTTTAATAATTACTTACCTGTAATATTTCGTGGCCAAGGAAAGAATGCTCCTGGACGTGAACTGTTATAATTTGAAACAGGGTAACTCGGCAAAATTTCACTAACAGTTTGTAAGTCACTTAAATTTTCATTTAAGTTATATTTTTCTATACCATTAGTAGAAATCTCTCTTGACAAATAATTATGATAATTTGAAACATTTTCATGAGGATCTACTGTGCCATATTCCTAAAATGAAAATTCCATGAACTAACATTTTATTTATATCAGTTATATATAAGAAATACTGCAAATAATAATTTTGTGCACATTAATTCTAATGTAATCAATGCATTTGAAGAATCCTTTGAAATAAGTTCATCTCCAGAGCTCTACAATACCACATATATTCAATTAATTATAGGTTTATAAAGATTTCTTTTGGTTAGAAATTAATTATTTGTAACCTAAGATTCGACTTCATAGATTTGAATTAGTAATTATTTACCAGTAAAGAGAGTTTACGAAATGTGAGAATTATACGACCGTTAATGTGAACAGATCTATTTGTTGATCTGTCTATCAGTCGTTTTGTCATAAACAACATGATACATTGCAGGGGTGTCAATAACTTCTAGTCCGAGCCATGTTGGGAGATGCAGATTACTTGGTTGGGGTCCGCGTGACAATCGTAACCAATGGCTGGAGATTCTTGGTGACATGGCTCAGGATCGATCACAATGGCGTTGGTGTATACACTTTCTGTCTTCTCTTAAACTAAGAGATTAAAATCGCTTCATATCTTTCTTTCTACTAACTAATTCTTTCTTCTTGTACTATATCCTTATTGCAATCTTTCTTTTATATATTACCACCTCTGCATTAACTACTTTTATGAATCCGGTGTTCATCTTGTTGTATTAATGAGGTATGACAACTTGGACCGATGCATGTATGTGCCTGGCCCTACGTTGTAGCTGACTGACTGAGAGGTGAACATGGGAATAAATTTCATATCACCAACGACTGTTTCATCATATTCTATAAAATTTTTCTTTAAATTATGCATAATTCATTAATTGACTGTGTGTGAACCTCATTTAACGTAGAAACATGAGTCTATCTACATCTACTTTAGCCAGCACACATATGAATTGTATATCATAACTTGAAATTTTTTATGAATATTTTATCAAGTAAAATTTATTTCGCCTTATATACTCATTCTTTTTAATAATTAAGAAATAAATATAGTTTACATTCGAAAACTTAATCCAACAAAATTTCATACAGAAATATTAGAAACAGTATTACTTCAGATGTTGTAGTGACTGTTAAAAGTTTAAGAAGGTTATCTATGTAAATGATATGAAATAAAGTGCATTCAAATGTCACCAAAGTTTGGTACTCTCTACGTTAGTCAATTGACAATCCTACCTGTTCCTCTCCGAATAAACCAAAGTAATAGATCACTTCAGGTAATCCTTCTATTTAGAATTTGCTCTTTATTTCTTGTTGATGCATTAAAGTAATTATGAACTATACTGGTATAATTATTCTTTATTATTCATTGTATAAAATTCCGAAAAAAACACTGAATAAATTATCAACTTCCAGTCATTCGTATTGTTTTGAATAGTTCATTTCACTTTCGATATGATGAACACAATATTGATAGATAGTTATATATATATATATATATATATATATATATATATATATATATATATATATATATATATATATATATAGGCGCTAGATCGAAGGTTCTGGGTTCTATCACCGCTTGTGAGGTAGTGGACATGTAATCTCTTGGGCATATACTGGGACTAAATGGCAGCTCAGTGCTTCTAGTTTTCTAATGATGTTCTACGTTGCTGTGTTTATGATTTCAATGAAACTCAACAATCTCCACAATCCTATGCTTACAATTTTCGAACATTCTCTAGTAGACATTCAACACTTTTAAACTAACACTGTTGTTTTACCATCAGACTTAAAGGATGAGACATACTGTTTAACGATTCTATACAATTACGTTTTATAAAGATAAAGACTATTCATCAACCGTTCTGGAAAATGTGAATTTCAAGTCCGGTTAACCTGAATGCTTAAAATAGATTTATTTCGAGAAAACAATTACGTTTACTACGACAGCCATCATAAATTGGCAGTATGTTATTGTTTGGACACGTCGCAAGAAGTATTGACGTGCGTTGAAAAACAGTAGTATAATTTTGCATCCAATTTTCTATGTCTATTAATGTAAAGAGGTACATCTACATGAAAAACAAACCAGTTATAAGACATCGTTTTTTAACACGTTTATGGCAGGCGAAAGTAAGTAGCGTTTGAATCTCGTGAGTGGATATCAATGAAGCTGTTATGATTTACCTTACCGAAAATCGGTTTTTTCATCTCAACGTTACTACACATCTTTTGAAAATCCTCTGCCTCCGTAACTATAACTACGAGGAGCGTTGAATCATGAAACGTACTAAGGCACGTTTTAATTAATAGATATAATTATATCACAGTCCTAAGTGTAAGGTTAGTTATTTGATCATCTGATTGTGATATCTGCTGTCAGTGGGCTTTCTATAAACAACTTTAACCATACACATATTGTTAGACAGCTTTTGTGAAGGCTGGATGCTTTATTAGTTCTTTGTGAGTAAGCTTCCGTGAGTATCTTGTGTCTTTTCAAATGATCCAGTCGAAGGTGCAGGCACCAATTCTTCCACTAGTTGGTTTCAAGAGTTGATTACCTAGTGGGAAGTCTTATTCGTCTTTGGCTCTTGATTGCGCTTGCTGTGTCCTTCGGACTGTCCCGACTTACATGAAGAAAAATCCAGGGACATTAGGACTGAAGTCGTTTCCTAGTCTTTAATGATTCTGAATTAGACTGTAGCGGTAAATAAATCCCCAAAATAAATAGCACTAAGTTTTCGACATTGGATGCTGACCATATGTTTTAGTGGACTCATCTAGCTGAAGGCGCTCGGTCAGGCATCCGCACCAGATCACGTGTAGTAACGCCGTGCTCAACATCAACCACAATCGCTAGCCAGATTAGATCAGAGAATCCCGATATATTGGTCATCGCCAAATATACTCTTCCGATCTCCTCGACTCTGTCTTTTGATTTCTCTTGGTGGGAACGAAATATTAGAAGGTGTTACTGGTAGAAGCGTTGTCAAACACTGAATACCTGTGACATCATCATTGGTGAGACCGTCGTGATCTGGTACACCTTATTGCAACTGTGAGTCTGTTCCTTTTTGGGATTTTTATATATCATTGCCTTATTTTTTATTTTTTTTAAACATTGTGATTTTTTTTCGTGTTTTTTCTTGGATATATATATATATATTCCCCTCGTTCATTATCGTACTTCATATTTCATCATGACTGAACAGACACCTAAAGTACTCAAGCTTAAGACCTTGTCCCCACCTTCGTTTCAACTGATGCCTTTCTGGCCCGACAACATCGAAGCCTGGTTTTGCTACGCAGAAGCCGACTTTTCCGAGCACGGCGTGATCGACACACGTGCACAATTCCTCGCAGTAGTCAAGGCACTACCGCGCGAATTCAACAGGTACGTAACACCTAGTATGTTTACTAGTGATGTTTCCGATCCTTACGAAATCTTAAAACGCTCGATTCTTAAACGAGGAGACCTAACCGATCGACAAAGGTTAGATCAACTCTTCAACAATATCGACCTGCAACACGGTTCTGCGACGGACATGTTGCAACGGATGAGAGAGGTTATAGGCCCAAGAACTTTCGACGAAGGTCTATTCAAACAACTCTTCTTGTCAAAACTTCCCCAACAGGTGCAAGCAGTTCTGGTCTCGTTCCAGAACAACGCCTTAGACGAACTAGCTGTATCTGCCGACCGCATTCTAGAAATTACGAAACCTTCTACTACCGAGGTATTTTCAGTCAAAGAAAAGCCTCACACGACTCAGAATGACATAACCGACTTATGTCACACACTCACGCGTTATCTTAGTCTTCGTACCGACCGTAAGAGATCGCGCACACCACGTAGAAGCATTTCTCGTAAGCGATCTGTCTCTAGACCACGAGAGACAGATAACCCCGACTGGTGCTGGTATCATAACCAGTATGGAAAGTTTTCCAGAAATTGCAGAAAACCCTGCAATTTTCCCAACACGAAACCGACTGATTCGGGAAACTTCCAAGCCGGCACGCGTTAACGGCAACCGTAGCCGGCGAACAAAGCCGTCTGTTATTCGTCACAGATGTGACAACGAGAGTTCGCTACCTCGTCGACACTGGCGCAGAAGTTAGCGTTCTCCCAGCAAATCCTAACGACCGACTTCACGAATCGACCCTAAACTTACAGGCGGCAAACGGAAAACCGATCGCTACGTATGGCAAAAGGTACGTTTACCTTAACGTGGGTTTACGCAAACCCATCCACTGGATTTTCGTCGTTGCAGATGTTTCTATGCCAATCATTGGTATGGACCTTCTACAACACCACAATCTGATCATCGACACTCGCAAACGGAGGCTAGTAGACGGAAACACTAATTTGTCCGTTTGCGTAACTTCTTTTACTGGTTGTAGAGTATCCCCAGTCACAGTTAAACATATGATAGACCCACTCTATCAACCACTACTCGATAAGTACCCTGGGATACAACAAACTCAACCGAAACTACCGTGTGTAACCAGCAATGTTACACATCACATCACGACTACAGGACCACCTGTATTTCTAAAGCACGACGACTAGCTCCTGAAAAGCTAAGGTTAGCGAAAAACGAATTCGATCACATGATGGACTTAGGAATCATACGACCGTCAAGTAGCCCATATGCATCTCCGTTGCACATGGTCCCTAAAAAGGACAGCAACGATTGGCGTCCAACTGGTGACTATCGGCGATTGAACGCGAAAACCATTCCCGATCGTTACCCGTTGCCTCACATTCACGATTTGACAGCTACCTTGAAAGGTACAACTGTCTTTTCGAAAATCGACTTGGTTAAAGCGTATAACCAAATCCCTATGGCTACTGACGACATACCGAAAACGCTATCATAACTCCCTTCGGACTCTATGAATTTTTGCGAATGCCTTTCGGTCTAAGGAATGCTGCTCAAACATTCCAAAGATTCATAGACGACGTTTTTCGAGGTCTCAACTTCGTACACGCGTATGTTGACGACTGTCTAATCGCAAGTCCGGACAGAGAAACACATCTCAAGCATCTGGACCTTGTTTTCGAACGATTACAAAAACATGGCATAACTGTAAACGTTCAGAAATGCCAATTTGGAACCGACTCGTTAGACTTTCTGGGACACACTATCGATGCTCAAGGTATCCGACCCCTTAGAACCAAAGTGGCGGCCATTCTGGATTACCCAGAACCGACCACCGTCAAGCAATTACGCACGTTCAACGGCCTGGTAAGTTTCTATAGACGTTTCATACCCAATGCGCATCACTTATGAAACCTCTGACCGACCAACTTCGTGGAAATGCGAAATCCATTAATTTGGACGACACCGCACGAAAAGCATTCTCCACAGTCAAGGAACTGATTGCTAAAGCAACAATGCTCGCACATCAGGACACCCGAGCACCCATTAGCATCGCAGTAGACGCATCCGACTCAGCAATCGGAGGAGTCTTACAACAATGGGTTAACAACTCCTGGCAACCCTTGGCATTTTTCTCTAGAAGGTTGCTAGACACCGAATCGAGGTACAGCACATTCGGTAGGGAACTCCTAGCTATGTATTGTGCTGTACGGCATTTCCAACACTATATCGAAGGCCGTGAATTCACTCTTTTCACGGACCATAAACCGCTCACTTTCTCGTTAAGCTCTCCTTCTGACAAGTACTCTCCCCGTGAGTCTCGACAACTGGACTACATTTCGCAGTTTACTTCAGATATTCAACACATCTCTGGAGCAAACAATGTAGTTGCAGACGCTTTATCTCGCATAACTTCCTTGAACAGTTTCCAAGGAATCGACCTTCTTAAACTCGCCGAGCTTCAAAAAGAAGACAGTGATCTTCAGCACGAGTTATCGTCCACAACACTTAAACTACGCATCAAACAGATGGGAACAGGTAAGGAAACCTTACTTTGTGACACATCTACAGGTAGGGATCGCCCAATCGTGCCGAAACATTATCGACGCAATGTCTTCAACACATTGCACAAACTTTCTCATCCAGGTGTTCGTGCAACCATCAAGCTTATAGCAGAACGATTTTGCTGGCCTGGCATGAATAAAGACGTGAGGGAGTGGGCACGCTCCTGTGTAAGCTGCCAAAAATCTAAGGTTATCAGACACAATAAATGTCCCTTAGGCTCGTTTAAAACTCCCGATGCTCGTTTCGACCATGTTCATCTGGATTTGGTAGGACCTTTACCAGATTCAAATGGATACTCTTATCTCTTAACCTGCGTAGACCGTTTCACTCGATGGCCAGAAGCAGTACCTATCAAGGACAGCACTGCTGAAACAGTGGCCCGCACATTCGTCGAACGATGGGTAGCAAACTTCGGTTGCCCTTCAACCATCACTACAGACCGCGGACGTCAGTTTGAATCTGATCTTTTCCGTCGTCTGACCACACTTTTAGGAATCACTCGCTTCCGAACGACCGCCTACCATCCCCAAGCAAACGGGTTGGTAGAACGTTTTCACCGACAACTGAAAGCTTCGCTATCAGCTGCAAACGTTTCACAATGGACCGACGCTCTTCCACTCGTCTTACTAGGTATCCGCAATGCAGTGAAAGCTGACATTGGATACACTGCGGCTCAACTCGTTTATGGAACGACACTTCGACTTCCAGGAGAATTCGTGGATCCTTCGTGCTCTTCGATGAACATGGATCTAACCTCCTACACGAACAGGCTTACAAACGCAATGCGTTCAGTTAAACCTGCTTCCACTCGACCTCAATCAACTGATGTTTTCGTTCAACCTGACTTACGATATAGTACACACGTTTTCATTCGTCGAGACTCGCATCGACGACCATTCGAATCAGCATACGAAGGACCCTTCAAAGTTCTTCAACGTGAATCTAAGTACTATATAGTCGATAAGAACGGAACCAACGATAGCATCAGCATCGATCGCTTAAAAGCAGCGTATTTAGAAGGAAATCCTATCCACGTCGATTTTCCTTCGGTACAATCGAACGACACGACTCAGACACTAATAATACCTCATCCGACAACCAACACACACGAAGATACTTCGACAGTATCCGAAAATAAACTTAAAACGACGCGTTCTGGAAGAAGGGTGAGATTTCCAGAACATTTAAACGACTATTGCACGTAAGGCACTTCTCGACATTTTATATTATTTTTTTTTAAAAAAAAACAATTTTAATATGCTTATATATTTTTATTTCTATTAAAAAAAAACAAACAAAAAACCAATTTTTTTAACGCTATTACGTGCTCATGAGTTTATTTTCCATTTTTTTTCCGCCGACCTTGTGTTTTTACGCATATACGAGTGTATTTTCGACATGCACTTACATTTTCTTTTTTCTTTTCCAGGACGGCTGGAAAAGAACGATGACGTTTATGAGGATCCGAAATTTTCATTGTACATTTTCTTTTTTTACTATGTTGTACCTCCGTCCCATATAGTAAGGAAAGACGACCAGACGCTGCTAAATTTAGTAAGCTATCAGAAGAGTGTTTACCAACGACAAACTCGTTGGGTTTAAACTTCTGGCTGGCCACGTCTTAGGGTCGTCACTGCCCCACTAGGGGGGGAGTGATCTGTAGCG